TGGGTCATGTATGAGGTTATTTATAGTGAATAGCTCTTAAATTTTGTTAAATACTTGGTAAACTTTTCCCTGTCCAATTTGGAGTTCAATTTAAAAAAGAAAAAAATTAAATTACTGCACTTGCAATAGTGACTTGATAGAGGTTATATTTAATCTTGCAGGTTTGATAGACTCTGACTGGTATTAGATCTTTGACCTTTATTTTCTCTTTTTCACTTATTGTTGTATTGTTGTTATAATGGTTTGGGTTGTTTAATATTGAATTTTTTTTTTTTGTGCTGGCACAGGGGCTTGAACTCAGGGTCTCCTCTTCCTCTTGCTTAGCTTTTTACTCTAGGCTGTCTTTTCTATCACTTGAGCCACACTTCTACTTTCAGCTTTTTGCTGGTTGTTGGAGGAGATAAGAGGCTGACAGATTTTTCTGTCCTGGTATTCAGATCTCAGCCTCTGAGTTCAAGCTTCAGTATTGGAATAAACAAAACAAGACAAAAAAAAAGCAATATTAGTGTTATCACACTCCCAGACTTCAAACTCTACTACAGACCTATGGTAACAGAAATAGCTTAGCAGTTTAGAGATTTGCAAAAAACTAAGCATAGAAGTTCCCTACAATCCAGCCTTGTCACTCTTGGGCAGAACATTACAAGTCAGGATACTGTAAAGACCCTCGCACATCCATGTTCATTGCTGCATTGTTCACAATAGCCAAGTTATGGAAACAGTCCAGATGCCTTATAATAGATGAGTAGATAAAAAAAAATCTTTGGCACTTATACATTTATCCATTGGAAAGAGTATTAGAATATTATGGAAAGTATGCTGTGGCTCAAGTAGTAGAGCGTTAGACTTGAGCACAGAGGGCCAGAGCCCAGGCCCTGAGTTCAACCCTCAGGATCAGCAAAAAATAAACAGATAAATTGTAAATACCAAGAATATTATGTTATTTGCAGGGAAGTGGCTGGAACTAGAACATAGCATGTTAAGTGAGGTAAGCCAAGCTTAGAGAGACAAGTGGCATATGTTTTCTCTCTTGTGGAAGCTAAATCTAAAACAGCACTGGATATGATAAATTATACATGGTTCTGTGTATTTACACACAAACAGACTAAAGGAGGATACACTTAGAGGGAGCTACCCAAAGATGTAACTCTGAATATCTAAAATACTTACCAAAACAAATTCCAGGAAATGAAAATATGTTGTTGTTATTGTTGTTGGTTGTTTTGTGGTTCTTTTGTTGTTGTTTTTTAATAAAACTTTTCAAGGGACAAACAGGGTGGGGAGCATAGGAGTAGAGGGAATAAAGGCAAGCAAATGCAGTCATGGTTTTCAATATATACTATGTAAAAAATGAACTATGTAACTTATGGGCAGGGATGGGAGGGGAAAATGGGGGAAGGTAAGGAAAAGATGATATTGTCCAAGAAGAAGTATACTTATTCCCTGACATGCAATTCTGACTCCTGTGTACAACTCCTAAATAGCAGTAATATATATATATATATTTTTTTTTTAAACCAATCCATCCCCCCCCCCCCCAGTCAATCTCAAAAAGTCATCTGTGCATGATTCCACTTGTGTCATTTTCTTTTTTTTTTTTTTTTTGCCAGTCATGGTGCCTGAACTCTAGGCCTGGGCACTGTCCCTCAGCTCTTCAGCTCAAGGCTAGCGCTCTACCACTTGAGCCATAGCACCACTTTTAGCTTTTTCTGCTTATGTGGTGCTGAGGAATCGAACCCAGGACCTCATGCATGCAAGGCAAACACTCTACCACTGAGCCACCTTCTCAGCCCCACTTGTGTGATTTTCTGTAACACAAAATGCTAGAGCTGGATGACAGATCAGGGATGGTGGATGTCTGATGACAGAGGTCATGGGCAGGAGGTCTTTGTGGGGACTGAATTATTCTGTATGTTGATTATGAATAGATGGATCAGTCATGCCAAACACAGCAGCCTGATTTTGATATACTTGGTTATATAAGATGTCACCATGGGAGGAAACTGGGTGAATGGCATACTGAATCTTTATGAAATATTTTTGTAATTGTGCACCTATGAATTAGTTCAGAGTAAAAGTGAGAAACGGAAGATTGAGCCAGGTGCTGGTGGTTCACATCTGTAATTCTAGCCTTTAGGAGGCTAAGCTCTGAGGATTGCCATTCAAAACCAGCCTAGGCAAGAAAGTCTGTGAGACTCCTATCTCTAATCAACCACCAGAAAGCTGGAAGTGGAGCTGTGGCTCAAGTGGTAGAGTGTTAGCCCTGAGTTCAAATCCTAGGACTGGCACAAAATAATAAATAAATAAATACATACATACATACATAAAATGGAAGATCTACCCAGACATTAGACTACTGTTCACTAGCCAGAAGTTGCTTCTTTTTTTTTTTTTTTCCCTGAGCTGAGCTGTTTTTGCTCAAGCAAGCGCCCTACCACTTGAGCCACAGCTCTGCTTCTGGCCTTTTCTTTTTGTAATTTATTGGAGATCAGAGTCTCATGGATTTTCCTGCCCAGACTTTGAACCATGATCCTCAGATCTCAGCCTCCTGAATAGCTAGGATTACAGGCATAAGCCACCAGCAACCAATCAGAGGTTGCTTTTTATGACTCAATTTTAAATTAGCTAAAATAAAGTTGATTTCACTTCCTTGGTTACTCATGTCATGTTTCAAATGTTCCTGTGGCCTCCTGATTGTCACAACCACAAAATGCTTCCATCTGCCAGAATGCACCGCTGGGCAGCCTTTGTTTGTGATGTCAGTTAGAAGTAACTTTGGCTCATATAATTTTTAAAAAAACAAGTTCTTTATAAATCTAAAGGTAGTTAAAGAGAAGAAATGGGTTTAATGTTTGTTTTTTATGTTTTGTGATTTTTTTTTTGAGGCTCTATCCTATATTGTAATAAGGAAGTGAAACATTTGCTTCATGTTCGAAGTTGGAGTAAGGGTTTATACTTTTATCTGAATAGCAGCTACAGTTTTCCCCAGCCCCCAAATCACAGTTCAGTTGATACAGGATATTGGCAAAATAGAGGCAATCGATGCAGGGAAAAGTTTCAATGTCTGGAGATTTCTGGGACTTTTTGTTGTCTTCTGCCTCTTAGAGATGGGATCACTCATGGTAGCTTAACCATTGCAGAGGAAGTACAGCAGACCCTAAACCAGAAAGCTATTTCGAGTTTGAAATGACCTTGAGGAAGTGACATATTGGCTTTTTTCGTTCTTTGTCACAAACCAGCAAACTAGGATGAAAGCTGGGTAACTACATGGAGACTGCAAGACATGCTGTTCTAAAGCTCTCACAGTCTTCTGGGTTAGGTGTAAAAATGCTGGGCTCTTCAAATAGGTTAAATACAAAGTTTTGATATTTGCATGATCAAAATGACCTTTAAGGTAGAAAGAGGAAGTTTATCAAGTGTAAGAAAGTTCTTGGTTTTTTAGTTTAGGAAGAACACATACCAATTAAACAAAAACATAGGGCAAAATTTTTAGTTACAGATAGGCTGCAGATGGTCTTAGGTTCCCATCCATAGCTTTTAGGTAGTGTTATGAGGCAGTCACATGGTAAGTGAAGTGTACAACTCTAATTCCTGATGATCAAGTTGATTTAAGCAAGATGAAGAATATAATAATGATGTAGTTAGGAACATATAAATAGCTTTGCTCATTCTCCTTTCATGAACCTTTGTTTTTGGCCACCTTTGTGTGGGTGGGTGTATGGGGGGGATAATGCCAAATTTAGCTTTCTAACACAGTTGAAATCCATGGTGCCTAAAACAACTTAATGTGTAAATGTGTATAGAGTAAATTGGTCAAAAATCTTGATTTGAAGCCAAAAAAGATAAATCTGTTTTTAGAAAGTCTAGCAGGAACTGATGCTCATGCTTTAATTTAACTGTTTCTCAAGTAGCTGAGATCTGATTCGAGCCAACCTGGGCAGTCTGAGACTTTTATCTCCAATTAACTAGCAAAAGACCAGAAGCAGAGCTGTGGCTCAAGTGGTAGAGCTCTAACTTTGAGAGAAAAAGCCAAGTGGACCAAAGCCTTGAGTTCAAGCCCCAGTACTGGCACACACACATAAAGTTACCTGAGCTGGGCACCAGTGGCTCATGCCTGTAATCCTAAGTACTCAGAAGGCTGAGATCTGAGAATCACAGTTTGAAGCCAGCCCTAGCAGGGAAGTCAGTGAGACTATTATCACCAAGTAACCATCAAAAATCCAGAAGTGGAGCTGTAGTTCAAGTGGTAGAGCATTAGTCTTGAGCACAAAAACATAGCGACTGTTCCTAGGCCTTGAGTTCAAGCCCTAGGACCAACATAAAAAAAATTACCTGGGCTTTCTTTGTGGCTGCCATACTTATTTTTGAGAAGGAAATGGAAAGTTCTTTGGCTTTGGGGGTGGGGAGGTGGGAAAGGAATAGAGAGAGCTTTCATAATTTCACTATGCAACATTTTTTATAGCATTTCTTTTTTTCTCTCTTGCTTTTTTTTTTTTTTGTGCTAATCCTAGGGCTTGAACTTAGAGTCTGGGTTCTGTCCCTGAGTTTGTTTTGCTCAAAGCAAGGCTAGTGCCACAGCTCCACTTCTGACTTTTTGGTGGCTAATTGGAGACTAAGAATCTCATGGACTTTCCTGCTAGGCTGACTTGGAACCACAATTCTTAGATCTCAGCCTCCTGAATAGCTAGGTTTAGCACCCAGCTCTTACGGGATTTCTTAAAGCTTTATAATGGCAGTCCTAAGATTTCTTCAAGACTTGTTTGTAAGGGATATTTCTGAAGCTCAAAGCAGTGTGTACGATCAAAGCACATGCAGTTTGTCCCATCCTCACTTCACCCACAGTATTCTCCAGCTCACTGACTTCTTGTTGAACTAACCATCATGGGGTTTTGAAACATACTACTTGCGTAGTTCTTTGGGGCGGCCTCACAGCCAGAAGTTGTGAAACATAACTGTGCACTTCCCATTGTTTAGTTCTTTACCATGTTGAACACAAGATGTGTGCCTGTGTGCTGTCTCGATGCAGAATGCCTGTAGACTTTACCAACAAGTCACAAATGCAGATTTTTCCTCGGACAGCAGGAAATAAATTGATCAGAAGAGCCAAACGTGCTGCCGGATGTCATTTGAAGCAAATCCTTTATGGGGTGCTGTGAGTACTCTCATTTTAGCATTGATAGTTCTGAACTATGTCCGGATACAATGATGGGTGTGTGTGTGTGTGTGTGTGTGTGTGTGTGTGTGTGCGCACGCGCGCGTGCGCGCGCACGCATGTGTATGCCAGTCCTAGGACTTGAACTCAGGGCCTGAGTTCTGTCCTTGAGCTTTTATGCTCAAGGCTAGCACTCTTACCATTTGAGCCACAGCTCCACTTTTGCCTTTTTGGTGGTTTATTGGGGATAAGAGTTTCACAGACTTTTTTGACTGGGATGGCTTTGAATTGTGATCCTTAGATTTCAGCTTTCTGAGTATCTAGGATTTCAGGCGTGAGCCACAAGTGCCCAGCTGGTGTTTTTTTTTTTTTGTTGTTTGTTTTTTTGTCAGTTGGGGGGCTTGAACTCTGGGCCTAAGCACTGTCACTCAGCTCTTCAAGGGTAGCGCTCTACCACTTGAGCCATAGTGCCACTTCCGGCTTTTTCTGCTTATCTGGTGCTGAGGAATCGAACCCAGGGCCTCATGCATGCTAAGCAAGCGCTCTACCACAGAGCCACCTTCCCAGCCCTTGTTTTTTAAATACTTACAAAATGAGGTGATGAAGTCACTGGAAGTGACAGGCAAATTGTACTATTATTGGAAAAAATATTGTGTATCATGCTTATAAAAGTTTCATGCTGTATGTTTTATTTTATTTATTTATTTTTTTTTTTTGGGTCCGGTCGTGGGGCCTGAACTCTGGGCCTGGGTGCTGTCCCTCAGCTCTTCAGCTCAAGGCTAGCACTCTACCACTTGAGCCACAGCGCCACTTCCAGTTTTTTCTTTTTGCTTATGTGGTGCTGAGGAATCGAACCCAGGGCCTCAGGCATGCAAGGCAAGTGCTCTACCACTGAGCCACCTTCCCAGCCCGTGCTGTATGTTTTAATAGAGGTGTCTGATCTGGTTTTTAGGGTCCAAGACCAGTTATTTGAGGGAATAGCCTGTGTGCCTGCCTGCCTGCCTGTCTGTCTGTCTGTCTGTCTGTCTCTGTCTGTCTGTCTGTCTTTCTCTTCCTGAGACCATACCACAACAGCATGTCCTGGAGCAATCTCTTTGTAAGGACTGCATGAAATCAACTGTGACTTCTCAGCATCTGAAGTCTGGTTGACGTGACAAGCTCCTTCGCTTAAAGTTAGTCATAGAACTGTTTTAGGCGAATGTCTGTTCAGAAAAACGTTTAATGGGGGTGGGGGGAGGATAAGGTGGGGGGAGGGGAGGAGTATGGGAAGGGATGGGAAGGGGAAACAATGAGGAGGCAACAATGCTTGATAAGAAATGTACTCGTGGGCTGGGAAGGTGGCTCAGTGGTAGAGCACTTGCCTTGCATGCCTGAGGCCCTGGGTTCGATTCCTCAGCACCACATAAGCAAAAAAGAAAAAAGCCGGAAGTGGCGCTGTGGCTCAAGTGGTAGAGCGCTAGCCTTGAGCTGAAGAGCTGAGGGACAGCACCCAGGCCCAGAGTTCAGGCCCCACGACCCGACCCCCCCCCCCCCCCAAAAAAAGGAATGTACTCGTTATCTTGCCCATGTAATTGTAACTCCTCTATACGGTATTCTCACAATAAAAAAAGAAAAAGAAAAATGTTTAAAACATTTTTGGTGAGAAAGAGAAAACTAAGTATCCAGGCATAACCTACTGATAATTTTTTGACATGTTTTTTTTTCTCCTTGTAAAGGTGAGACCATGTTATATGGGCATTTTGTATCACATGTCTCCCAGGTGGAGGTCCCAGTGAACATTACATGATTTGTAACTACTAAAAATACTCAGAAATACCCATTTCAGTTATATAATATATGTGATACTCTGTCACCATATAGTTCCCATACATTAGTTAGCACATCACTTTTGTTGGAGTGTGTGTGTTTGTGTGTGTGTGTGTGTGTGTGTGTGTGTGTGTGTGTACACAATTACACTCACGGCCACATACTCACGGCTTGCTTGCTCTGCTGGCACTCTACCACTTGAGCCACACTTCAGTTATGGCACTTTGCTGATTACTTGGAGATGAGTCTCACAGGCTTTTCTACCTGGGTTGGTTTTGAACCTAGATCCTCAGATTTTAGCCCCCCGTGAGTATCTAGGATTATAGTTGTGAGCTGCCAGCACTCAGCTCTAGATTTTTTTAAAATTTGGTTTATAAATAACTGAGAAGAAAACCAGTTTTTAAGATTATCTTGCAAGGTGCCTCAGGGAGAAGACCCTCATTGTATATGTAGTCTTGATTTTAAGATATTAATAATATCCTGATCTTAGATTCTCAAAAAAATTTTTAATCAGTGTATACTAGTCGTAAGGGATTTTGTTGTTACATTTCCATGTATGTGTGTGGTCTACTCCAATCAATCTCATCTCTTCTTTCACTCTCACTCATTCCTTCAGCTTCCCAAGATAATTTAAACAGATCCCATTGGTCTGTTTTCATAGTTGCTATCTATTTTGCTGGTGCTCATTATGTTTCATTCTCCTTGTTAGCCCAGCCTCCTCCTGCTAGTTCCACTCCCAGCCTACTTCTCTTTCTCTCACCTCCTATCTCTCTATTGACCAACAGCAGCTCTTTAAGCTGCTTTCAATTATATTTGCAGTATACTTCAAAATTATTTACCCTATTTTTTGTGTGGTGAGAGGATGGTTCTGGGGCTTGAACTCAGGGCCTGGACCCTGTCCCTGAGCTTTTTTTTTTTTTTTTTTCTCAAGGCTAGCACTCTGCCACTTGAACCACAGCTCCACTTCTGGCATTTTTGATAGCTTGTTGGAGATAGGAGTCTCACAGACTTTCCTGCCTAGGCAGCCTGTCTTGGAACTACGATGCTCAGACCTCAGCCTTTTGAGTAGCTAGGAGTCATTACCCAGTTGACTTTTCCTCCTCCTCTTCCTTCTCCTCTTCCCCCCTTCCTCCTCCTTCTCTTCTTCTTCTTCTTCTTCTTCCTCCTCCTCTTCTTCCTCCTCTTCCTCTTCCTCCTCCTCTTCTTCTTCTCCCTCTTCCTCTTCCTCCTCTTCTTCCTCTTTCTCTTCTTCCTCCTCTTCTTCCTCCTCTTCCCCCTCCTCCTCTTCTTCTTCTTCCTCCTTCTTTTTCTCTTCTTCTGTAAATTAAAAAGAAATATTGTTATTATAAAGGTGATATGCATAGGGGCTACAGTTACATAAGTCAAGTAAAAAGTGTGTTTCTTTATGGACAATATCACCACTTCTTTTTTAAGGACAAATACTGCATTAAGATTTTCAGTAAACATATATACATTTATTGAAATCTCTAGGTCTCACATTCTAAAAACTTTTACTGCTATGTAAAAGAGTAAAGTGGAATGGGATCTAGTTTTGCAAATTAAATTTACAAAGGAATTTTATCAAATTGCTGGACCAGTGAGGAGGGTTGAAGGAGCATCATGGAGCCAGGACTGCTGCTTCCACACCCAAGACTTTGCATGGGTAGAAAAGTAGACCGGTCTTGCAAGATCAGTCAAGTATGCTTTGTGCAAATACTGTGCCTGGAAAGACACAGATTCACAGTGTGTTGGCACATGTTTTCTTTGTTTTACCAGTTTAGAAATGGCCTGAGCTTCTCCTAGTAACAGCTTCGAGAAAAGCAAATGCCTTTTGTCCTTTATTCTCTTTATGTTCCTCCCACTTCCTCCCTAGTCATAGACCGAATGATGTACTGGTCATTTTAGGGAGTGAATGGATCTGATTTTTAGAAAAATTAAGTTTACTCATAAATTCCCAAGTGCTGCTTCTAATCTAAAACTTAAAGGCACACAGGTAAATTTTGGTAAAAATAGAAATAGCTGGGATAATGTGATTATACACATAGCCCAACTATGGAAGACTGGAGCCTTGAAATTATTTTGGATCAGAAAATTTGAGTGTTTTTAAGGTTTGACTTAAGACACTGAGAGAATTTATTTTTTATTTACCCGGCCTCTGTCTCCTCCTTGCTAGTTTAGGTGGTGATATAAAGTGATACCCTGACTTCTTACAATCTTATTTAAGTTTTCTGATATTCATTTTGTTGATTGTTGGGAAGTGTTGCTCTGTGGAGGTTCATTCGTGAATATACTCAAGTAAATCGTGTATGGGAGCATATATATGTGTATATATATGTATATATATGTTTGTTTACATGGGAGATTGTATCTTAGTTTTAATAACATCAGCATTTGAGAGAAAATATGCATTCTTTTTGTAAGGGAAGGCAGTGGAAAGGAGCAGATAAATAAAAAAAAGGGAGTAATAGATACGTTCATATGTGATAAAGGAAGTGGGAAACATGAAATGAGGCTGAAGGAAAGGGACAGGATACGGGAGAATGATGAAAGTGGCGACTCTGAACAGGAAGTTTTAGATGCTGCATATGTTAAAATTATAACCCCTTGAACAACTTTCTGGAGTTCAGAAAAAAAAATAATTTTAAAAAAAAGTTGCCAGGGGCTATCAACTCATGCCTGTAATCTTAGCTACTCTGGAGGCTGAGATCTGAAGATCTTGGTTCAAAGCCAGCCTGGGCAGGAAAGTCTGTTAGACTCTTACCTCCAATTTATCACCAGAAAACCAGAGTGGCGCTGTGGTTCAAGTGGTAGAGTGCTCACCTTGAGCTGAAGAGTTCAAGGACAGTGACCAAGCCCAGAATTCAAGCCCTCTGACTGACAAAAAAATAATTAAACAATAAAAATAGCTAGGTGCCAGTGGCAGTAATCCTAGTGAGGCTGGGAGCTAAGGATCATGTTTCAAAGCCAGCTCAGGCAAGAAAGAGTCTTATCTCCAGTTAACTGCCAAAAAGCTGGAAGTGGAACTATGGCTCTAGTGGTAGAGCAGTAGCCTTGAGGGAAAAGCTCAGGGACGGTGCCCAGACCCTGAGTTCAAGCCCCAGGACCAGCACAAAACAAAGTAAAAAAAGTTGAAAAAAATCCACAAAAACACTTGACTTTTATGTAAATGACTAAAATTGTGTTAAATCTGTGCT